ATTAATTTAAATAACAGCGATAATGCGTCGAGACATATACACCTGACGTTGCACCAACACACGAAATTGCGCACAGCACCCTCTTGTAGCTAAGTCAATCGTCAGTGATATAAGTGCACCTCAAAGAGTTGAAATTCTTCACTGCTGTATCCAAAATGCGTATACATTCTTTGATGCTAACATATGAGGTAGTGGTTGATAAAAATGACAGCCACTGTAAAGGGGCCTTGTCAAAGGAAAGTAGATTAAGAAATGACTACTAATTTATAGGAAACTATAGCTTCATAACTCCCATATAACTGCAATGTCAATAATAATCACTTTAAAAAACAACAATTGAGCTTTGGCGTCGACATCGTAGGTCAACAATCATCTGTCTTGCAGCGGTCGCACGTTACGGAAACCCGCTCCATACCACGTAAATGTTGCACGTATAATCTCAGTACGTTTTGATAGGCAGTTTCCTCTCCTCATATCGATGGGAGAAGTGGCTAGATTTATTCTTGTATTTGATAGCTCTTGTATCAAATAATGCTCAAACATTCTTCCTACGTAAATCAGGCATATGTCAAATAATGTTCAAACTAGAGAATATCAGGCTGCTGGGGTATTCCCCTTTACTTTGGTATCTTGCCAGATTTTTGGGGTTGTTTTGATATCATATGAAACGTATGTAAGGGTATCTCCATACTCCATAAGGATCGGCTGACCCCCATACGCTTATGAGCGCAATAAGAATAGGCCGATCGAGGGTGCGCAGCGGTTGCGTTGCTGCGTCACAGTCGATCGGCCTATTCTTAGAATTAAAATTAGAATAAATACTATTCTGCCTGGGGTTCGGCACTCACCTTTCCGCCACACTTGCCGACGACTTCGAACTCTAACACAAGCTGAAGAGAGAAAGCAAGTCAAAGTCGGAAGAAAGTGCGGAAGGGCTGGGATAGAGGCGAATTGCACTAAGTCGGTACTCAACAGGAGGCCGTAACGCAACCGCCGCGCTCCTCGATCGGCCGATTCTTATTGCGTTTATAAGCGTTAAGGGTCGGCTGATCTGAATCGGCCGAGCATTAACGAAGTACGGAGAAACCCTAAACTAGAGGTCGGCTAATAGCCTACACAAACTTTGTCTTAAGATTCCGTTACGTTCTTGTCTGAAGAAATCATCTTTAAGTAGGCAAGTTGGA